CCTTGCACGAACTGCCTCAATCATAAAATGTGAAAATACTGATTTTTTTACTCCAAAAGAAGGAACCAGGAGCTCACACATATCCCTGTGTCCTCTTGTCACCAGCATGCCCTCCACCTGTCTCGTTTCCAAATGTGTGAGTTGTTGCTCTACCCACATATTTGCCAGACAAGTTTGTAAAGGGGAAGGTCCAGAAATCCTTTGAAGGAACAACTGTTTGCTGTAAATTGCCCTTTGGATTAACATTATAAAATAATTTAGCATTAATAAAATAATTAAATTTATTCTCACTGTTTCCTATTGGCCTATTAGCTCTTTTCCCTGTTTTATACCGTGCCTGGTTCAGATTGTAATTTCCTTTAGGTTGGGAATGGGCCTTGATTAGCGGTGTGTAAACAATTAATTATGTGCCTTCCTAGTCAAATTAAAAATAAATAGAAAAACAAACACGAGAAGAGAGGGAATCATTTGGAGTTCTCTTCATTCTCAAATGTTTCTTATTCCCAAAGGGAAACAGATCTTTGGAAATTTGATCTTGGCTCATCTAAAATGCCATAGATTCATTTTGTTTTGATTTACCGTGCTTGTTGCCTTTTTATTTTAATCTCGAAAAAGCAGGAGGGGAAGCGTGAGAGATTCGCAGAACACTTGCTGTAAAAATAAAGACTGAAATGTTTTCAAAACATCTGCATTTTTCAAAGGCAAGTTTTAACTCTCTGGACTTAAACTGTTGCCAAATTCATCTCACATCTACAAATGCCTCCAGTTTTCCCCTTTTAAATTAATTCATATTGCTCTAACCTCGATTAGGGCTGGCAAAGCACTCTGTGCTTCTACTATATATATATATATATTTTTTTTTTTTTATGCAGCAATTTTTGCACCAAGCCCATTAGCAAGCACTTCACTGCCACTTCTTCCCTTCACTAAAAATTCAGGCCAAAATCGCTAGGTTGCATATTTACCTCAGGGGCCCCCTATTTTCTTTTGAGTCACCTTTCAAAACAGAGGTGAGGCTGCATTCTGAAAAGTGGGCTCGTGATACACTCAGGGAAACTTGATTAGAGATGTAATTTTTAAAACCATGTATTTTTTAACATACAATCCAAGAGAAAATATATCTGTGTTAGGCAGACCAGGGCAGGGATTGTCCCCCTGTGCTGGGCACTGGTGCATGACCAGGCTGGAGCATGACCAGGGGAGGGAAGGGAGCTGGGAAGGGGCTGGAGCAGCAGGAGCAGCTGAGGGAGCTGGGGGGGCTCAGCCTGGAGAAAAGGAGGCTCAGGGGGGACCTTCTGGCTCTGCAATCCCTGACAGGAGGGGGGGAGCCAGGTGGGGGTCTCTTCTCCCAGATAACAAGCGACAGGACGAGAGGAAACGGCCTCATGTTGTCCTGGGGAGGTTTAGGTTGGATATCAGGGAAAACTCCTTCACCAAAAGGGTGAACACTGGAACAGGCTGCCCAGGGCAGTGGTTGAGTCACCACCCCTGGAGGGATTTAAAAGCTGTGGGGACAGGGGTGAGTGGTGACTTGGCAGCGCTGCGTTAGTGGTTGGACTGGATGATCTCAGAGCTCTTTTCCAGCCTTAATGATTTTATGATGATTCTACAAGCAAAGAGTGGGATGTATCTCGACTTCTCTCTCTCAGTGGGAAACATCACCCTGAATTTTAGCTGAGTCAAAGCTCTATGTTCAGTCTGAACTGTTTTTTTTTTTTTACCATTCCCAGTCCACAGGGAGCTAGCAAGCACCAGCTCTGAGGGCTTTCATCCCACTTCCCTGACTGCAGTTGGACTAGTTCAAACTGAAACACCTCCTGCTTGGCTGGGGGAGGTCAGTGATGTGTGAACTGAATGCCTACAGACCTTTAACTGAATCACCAAGGTCAACAAACAGATTCACACTGGAGGACTTCGAGTTTATGGCTCATTTGGCACATTAACTAAACAAGTGAATAAATAACCCAATCACAGCAACCCTCTTCTCCCTCCTTAGTGATAACAGCAATAACCCTCACATATCACAGCTGTCATTGATACAGGCCAGCAAAGGCAGATGGAATAAAAAAATCATCTGAAAATATCACAGTTTTGGGGCATCATTAGGAAACAGAAAGGGTGTCTTTTCATGTTGATGGGTCACAAGCACATCTGGCGTGATGGTGAGCAAGGCAGCAAGTTCAGCTGCCTCAATTCACCTCCCAGAATGTTCATGGCTGAAAAGATCCCTCTAGAGCTGCAACTCTTGCCTGTCAAGGGGGATATTCCCTGGGATAAGGGACTAAATAACTCTCCTTCCTTGGTGTATTCCTCCTAGAAAAGCTGGAGTAGATTTTATAGACAGCTTGGGACAAACTCACTTTAATACTTCCCCAGCTCTGGGGTTTTTGTTTTGTTTTGGGTTTTTTTGTTGTTGTTGTTTGTTTGGGGTTTTGTTTCTGTTTTGTTGTTTTGTTTTGTTGTTTTGTTCTTTTTTCTCCTGTGTTGGGTTTTGTTTGTTTTTATCCCGTGGAAAAGGAAGAGGTTTTGGGCTTTGACATCTTTCTGTGGGCAAGTGGCCACACAGACAGGGGGCTGAGGAGCCCATGGATTCACCTTTTCCATCCAAAAAGTAAACATAAGCTCTGACAGTGAACACTAAGCCCTTTTCTTGGGATTATCTTTGAATGGTTGAAGCTGAAACTCGAGAAACCCTTCCCCTTCACTAATCCCCCCTGGCACGGCCAAGACAAGGTGTAAAAGTCGTGGTGGGTTTATCAGGGGCTGCTTCTCCTTCTCTTGCCTTCCTCGAATTTCTAGAACTTGATTTCACTCATGGCTTGAGGTGGAGGTGAAGTTTCTTAACCCTTTCTCATGTGAATCACAAGGGAAAGGAAATATTTCAGCAGCCAGATCTCATTTCAAGCATCAGAAGCATAACCTGAAGGAGCTATCTCTGGCTCCTTGTCAGGAGAGCTCCTCGTTTCAGTCCATGGCTTTCATCCACACTCATTATTTTAGGAACACAGGACTGAAGGAACTTCTTACACAACAAGCTCAGCTTTGATTTCTTCCATAACTTCCTTCAGCTCTGTCTTAAAACTAGATTTTAGATTCTTTTCAGTTTCTTCCTTTTAAATATCCTCAGTAAAAATACAGCTTTATTCCTAAAAACCCTCTGAGCCAAAAAAACACTGTATGAAAATGCAAGAATGAGCAAAAAAAGAGAGTGAACCAAAGAAAAACACCAACTCAGGATTTTTATGTATAATGATGGGTGATACAATTTCCTACAACAAGACTGTCAAAAGCTACAAAACCTCTGGCATTTTTGGGAAAAAGGGGGGGGGAAAAAAAGAAGAAGTATTTATGGAATATTATAATTATTTTCTCTTCCACAGGACCTTGTCTAAGACTCCAAAACCATGCTACCAACATGACAACACGGGGAAGTAAATGTTAGATATCAGCACCAGAGACAACAACTGGATGATTTTCCACGATTAAAACACACCAAACATCCTGTGTGGCCTTTGCAGGATCAGTGCAGGAGGACTTGCCAACCCAGGGATTTTTAAAGACTTATAAAGTGTTATATTCTCACATATATTGGGGTCTTAAGGGAGAAGTGATAGCCTGGAACAACAGCTTAAAGAGAGGCAGCACCTGAGTAAATTCTCTCAACTGAGTAGGAGACAGCTCCGATGGCTGGGTTTAAGCACATTTTGCTCCTTTAAATTATCATCTGGAGTAAGTAAGTATGAATTTCCATCCCAGGATGCTCAGACTAAGGATTTGAATCCAGGTTATTGCATAAATAGAGAGATGCTGCAACACTGAGGTCAATGGTGATTATACCTACAATTCAGAGTAAGGAGCAAAGTGGTGTAACATCCCTCCCATGGTTGAGAGACAATAAGAAAGGAAAAACAGTGATAATCCCAAGAATTCCCAGGGACAGCAAAGTGGACTCCACTCCCTGACTGCTCTAAAAATTGGAGGCAGCAAAGTAACTTGTAGTTTTCCCCATCATTGGCTGCTTTTAATTTCCTTTTACCTCTGGGTGTAAGAAGCCTGCTTGCATAAAACTCAGTTCCTTTTCTTAAAGAGTGTTCCAAAACTTACCCACCAAACTGATCAAACCTTCTGTGGGAAATTCACCTGCAAATCATCTGCTCAGTCAACGACAGGGACAGCAGAAATACAGAGCAAATGCAGACCCAGAACTGCCTGACAGGACTCAGAGACACGATCTGGGGATCCATGGGCAAAAAGGAGGTGTCTGTATGTAAACATCTACAGCTGTCTGCTTCACACTGATTGTCCTTCCTCACCTGAAGAGAGAAGGAAGCGCTTTCAGGGCATGAGTCACTCCAAACCAAAGGAACTGTCTAAAAGAGGTAAGAGAAAACCCTTGACTGTTTCATCCAGGGAGCCCGAGGCAACTGGCTCAGGGGTGCATGTCTAGACTGCAAATAACTAAAGTTAAATGAGATAAACCCACATTTGGGTCTAAATTCAGTGATTCCCCTCCAGACAGCCCCATCCTTCCCCAGAGCAGCCGTGAGATGGTAACTGGAAGGGTCCTTATAGAGAAATTCAGTGAAAGTCTCCTGAGTGCTCGAATTCGCTCACAGGCTGTGGGGGTTTTTTATCAAGATGTATCAGCTTTGAAATGCTGCTGTTCAGAAAAGGTCCTTGGCTTCAGGAGAATGTGCAGGAAGGTGTTAACACTGCCCTGGATTGCTGCTCCTCCAGCCCCCAAGTCATCTACTCTTCCCTGCTGGGAACTGAAGAAACGGTCCCTAATTCAGCTGCAGGCACAGAAAGGATCATAAAGGCTCAGATTCCAATTCCTGACAATGCTTCCATCCACCCATCCATCCACATCTGATTCTTGCCCTGGGCAACCCCAGAGTGCCCCCAGCCAGTCCTGCCTGCTCTCCACTGCACCTCCACAAAACCTGCACAAAACCTTCAGCAGACAGGACGAGGATGGATTTGGATGTTATTTATAACCAGGGGGCTGAATAAAGTAATCTGGGTGTTCTCTGGTTCCCAGAAGTGCTGCAGTGGTCTGGTTTGAGGAACAACATTCTTGGTTTAACAACATGGGCAGCTCCTTTTAACTTTTAGAGGAAGTGAAAGCTCGGAGAGTGTCTAGAAATCCAGTGAAAATCCAGTGTTCCCACACCATCAGCAAAGCAAGGGCTGCAGTGACGGTCCAAACCATCAGCACTCACCCTACACAGTTCTGAGTGTCCTGTGGGAAGGGTCAGCGTGAAAACACGGGAATAATGAAAAAAATTTGTTCTACTATTCCTGGCTGAAAGGGACTCCAAGCTCCAGGTGGAACAGGTTGTGCCACGAGCCCGAGAGCCTCGGCCAGGCAGGGGAACAGAACAAATGTGACATGACACGACTCCCCCACGCTGCCTGAGCCAGGCAAGCAGGCAGCACTCCCACCTGACAGGAACACTGCTGTCCTCCCGGGAGCCTGAGGGCCACAGCTAATTTTTCTGACAGCTCCAACCACCCTCAGGAAGGCTCAGGATCCCAGAATGCCACAGGATGCTGTGCCAGGGCTGCATCCCAAACATCGACACTTGTGCTGAGCACACAGCGGAGTGTGGAGGGAAACAGGTGATCCAAGTGAAGTGTCAGGTGCTGGAAGTATCTGTGTTACAAACCAAGACAGCACACCAGTGATTGCCACGCTGTGAACACAGATTGTGGAATGGTTTGGGTTGGAAGGGACCTCCAAGATCCTCTCTTTCCAAGCCCACTAGGCCTGGTTGCTCCAAGCCCCATCCAACCTGGCCTTCAGCACTTCCAGGGATTGGACATGGCGAGGCTTGACCAGGAAAGAGTTTAACAGTGGTTTTAAGGAAGCAAGGATATCACCCTCTTGCTTCCTGAGGGGATTCACCACCCCAGCTTTGCTGCCATCCCAGAGCTTTGCTTCCCATCCATCCCTGAATCCAAGGCAAGGAGCAACCACCTCCCACTGTGCAAGCAGACTGTGATCAAACAGCTGCTCAGGCAGATAATTAATTCTACTTTAATCCACTGGGCATTTTCTTTTGTCATTCCTTTCCTGTCCACAGCACAGGTGGGGGAAAAGGATTCGAGGGAAGATGTTTCTGCCTTGCCTGTTTAAAAGGGAAAATGTAAAAGGGTGCAAATGACGCAGGAACTGAATGCTCAGATGGCAAAATGAAATCTCAGTGGTACAGCGTCACCAGACCTCCCTCAGGTGGTGCCACTGGCTGTAGATCTCAGCATGTTCTACGAAGGTAGTGTCTGTCATGTGTTTTGGCAGAGGGAGAAACCAAGGCAGAAAACCCAAGATCGAAATAACCCCAACAAATAAACAAACAAACCCCAAACCCACCAAAAACCAAACAAAAAACCAAACCAGAACCACCACCACCACCAAAATTAAAAAACCAAACAAACCACAAAACCCCAAACAAAAATAAAAACCAAGAGAACCAACGAAAATCCCAATCCATGAACCCTCCCCCCTCCCCAAAACAACAACAAAACAACACATCTAAACTGACAGGTTCGTCTGTCTGTCTCCAAAAACTCCTCCCTTACAGCAAAGATGGACAAAAGCAGTAAGAAAAACCCCCTAAATACCTCCCAGTCTCTGCTGGCAGCACTTGTGTGTCTCTAAAAGACCTTTCCATGTGCCAGGGTACAGTGAAGTCCACATCTGTCAGAGATATGAAACATTTAAATGTTCTCCTCAAAACAACCTGGCCTGGCAGCAAGGAGCCAAGAGAGGAAAAGAGAATTTAGATGGAAAAAAAAGAGTAGGGAGGAAAGGAGTTGGGCCCTTTTTCCACGGGAACAAGAGAACGACCTCAAATCTCACTTTAGGGATATTGGCAATTAGGAAGGCAAAACCTTGAGATGGGCATTAGGAGGGATCAGGACACCTGGGCAGAGCAGCTGATGGATCAGGAAAGAAAATGATGTTTAGAGCAGCAGAAGGAGCAGAAAACCTCTGAGCACTGTGAGAAGTCTCACCCTGGCTGTCAAGAGCAACTCAGCCAAGCAGAGAAAGTCTTTGAGCCACATAAATAAAAAGAGAACAACAACAGGAAAAAAAAAAAAAAAAAAAAAAAAAAAAAAAAAAAAAAAAAAAAAAAAAAAAAAAAAAAAAAAAAAAAAAAAAAAAAAAAGAAAAGAGAAGTCCTGAAATTCAAGTGAAAATTAATCACAGCCCCCCAGAAAGGAGAAGTTACAGCCCCCACTTCTGTTCACTGGCTTCTCCAAAGAATTGGAGGCGAAAACGTAAATTTTGCTACTACAGAGTTGAATAGTTGCACATGGGGGGAAATGATTTAGCTTGAATAATTGAGAACAACAACAGGGCTGGCTGGGAAGGCAAACAGGAGCATGGAAACTGTCAGTTGTGAGGTGAAAGCCACTCAGAAGAGAACAACATGCTCAGATGGGATGGTGGGAGTGGAACCATCTGGCTGAAAGTCAACAAAAGTAAAGCTTTTTTTTTTTTTCGTGTAGGAAGGAGGGAGGCAAAAAGACCCAGACAGTTCTCAGCCAGTTAATCTGAGCACAAAAGCACACAAGGCTTTTTGAACACCACTTCAGGGAAAAACGTAATTGGAAGTGTTATTGAAAGTGAGGCAGCAAGTGGAGATGGGGATAACATAAAAAACCGTGGTTTATCAAAAGGAAATCATGGCAATGTAAGCAATAGTTTGTTTGTTTGTTTGCTTGCTTGTTTTTAATAAGGTTTGCTGTTGTGGGAGGTGAGGTGAAAATCGGTGGATCTAAACTTTGTTACCTTCACTAAAGAGTGTGATTCTGTGGATACGAGGATAATACAACAGCAGGAAGGAAACTAAGGGAGATTGCCCAGCTGTGGCTGCCCCATCCCTGGGAGTGTCCAAGGCCACGTTGGATGGGGCTTGGAGCAACCTGGGCTAGTGGAAGGTGTCCCTGCCCATGGCAAGGGAGTTGGAACTGGATGATCTTGAAGGTCCCTTCCAATCCAGACCATTCTGGGATTCTGGGAAGTGGCCAGTGGGAAGGCTGTGGGATGGGATGAAGAAGAAATGTGGAGCCACAGGGAGGTCTGCCGGGTGTCACTGAAAGACTCACTGGCTCTGCTGAACAAACAGTGAAATGTGATGATGGAAAGAGAACAGGAAACAGGGAGCAACCAACAGAAAGGTCCTCGAGAACCCACAACTTCTGCTGGAAACAAGAGAGCAGAAGAACCTGTTAAGCTGATTGTACTTGAGGGATGCTGGAACATCTAAACCAAAATTGTCTGGTTCTATATTACAGCCAAAATAATCTTCACCGAGACTGTGTCTCCAGCAAACACCTCTTGGGGCATTTTCTGGCCATTTTTATCGAGGGGAAAGCTCCTTGGTGGCTTCAGGGAAGGGGGCAGTGCAGAATCCATCACATGGCTGCAAATGGCCCATCTGCCCACAATTAGAGATGGGGCAAAGACCCTTAAAAAAAGGACAGAGAAGGATAATTTAAATGGTGGTGATGGTGCCTTTAATCAGCCCTTTAAAGCCACCCCCTCCTTGCTTTAGTAGCCCCAACCTGCCTGGTAACTTCTCCTCCAGAGCCTGACCTTTCCTGGCTTCCCTGGCACATCAAATCGAGATAGCAGTGACACCAGACAGCTACCCAAAAAAAACCCCTGCAGTCCTGCAGGTTTAGCTCCAATTTCCTGACTGGAAAGTCAAGAGAAGGAAAAAAAAAAGAAGAAGAGAAAAAAAAATCCAATAGTAACTAAACTCAACTTTGGTTCTGGGGAAGAAAGTATGAAACTAAGGCAAAAACCCATTTTGCTGACTCCCCAAAGCTCCTTCAAGTGTGCAGAATCAATTAACTGAGAGACAGGCAGCAGCATGCTGAGCAGCAGGAGCATCAGGGAAGAGCCCAGGGAACATCCACTCCCGCAGATTCACCTGCATAAGGGCGGGAGAGGGGAGACAAGGAAAACTGCAGGGAAGAAAATCAGCCCCACCTGCTCATTCATCCTTTGCCTTGTGAGCCTCTCAAACACTGAACAGAACAGGGAGTGGGAACTCGTAAAGTGGTTCATCCAACACAACTGTGAAGTCACACAAGGGTGAGTTATCCCTTATCAGTATTGTTTTCACAAGCTGTTCATCAGGAAACTTGGCCAAAGGATTACCCCAGTATTGCCCAGGGAAAGGAGTCAGCAGAAGCGTCGTGGTGGCCACAGAACAAATAGTACCTGGTGCTGTCTTACCATCAAATTACAGGAAATTTGGCTGGAAGGGGTCTCTGGAGGGCTGAATTTGGACTCACACCACTGCTACTCTTGCTCTGCCACAGATTTCTCTACCCAAGTCTTCAAACCCTCCAAACGTGGAGACTGTACCTTTGTGGGTGACTGTTTTGTTTGCTTTGACTTGGGGTCAAAGAGGAGCCACATTACCCCCTCTTATACACGAAAATGTTCATCAACAGGGGTCCACTTTTTCATCTTTAAAAATAATAACTGTGAGACTTTCACTGGGAGGTGGTGGTCGGCTTGCAGAGTGAGACAAACTTCAGACACAGGGATTTCTATTGGCTTGGGAATAGGGAGGATTTCACCTGGCACAACACACAACCCAGCCTGGCATTACAGGAGTGATTAAAGGTCTGGAAAACCTGCCAGTGCAAAAAATAATAGCAATAATAAAACACATAAAAAAAACCCCAGCTAAACTTAGAGAGAGAGAAAGAGAAATGTGTAATCAATCCCAGCCAGCAAGTGCCTGAACTGTAAGAAGATTTCCTCCCAAGGATATCTATTTAATGTGGGGGAAAAAAAAAAAAAAGGGCTTAACAAATTCCAGTGAGTGAATTCTCTAATGAGACAAAGGAGGATTAGAAGCAAAGCGTGGCTTGGGGATGGTTCAACACTGACAGGCACGACTTGCCTCCCTCAGGAGTGTCTCTTCCAAATCCTTTGGGTCTGTTTGTTCTGCAGGTCAAAAGAAGGAATGAATGGCTGGGGCTGTGTAGAGAGTTAAAAACTGAATTTCATACAGTCACACAGTCCCTCCCAACCTCAGCCAGCCCAGGATTCTGCATGAAAATGATTCTGAGAGTGAAGGGAAAGGTGCAATTCTTGGGATTCTTTTAACCACCTATCTACTGCATCCACAAGCTGAGGGCCAATTAAAAACAACATATATTAGGACAGTCCATAAGGGGTGACTATTTAATTCCCATTTGATAAGTAAGAAGTCCCAGTAATGGTTTCTACAAGCTTTTGTCCCTTCCTTTAACTGTCCCCAGTGACAGAGACTCCCCAGTGCCCCCCAAAATCCTGATCGATTCCTGGGCTTCTCTCTGCTGAACCATCAAAAAGAACTGGCCTACGTTTTGAAACCCTTAATTACTGTGGCTGCAATTTAAGTCCCAAATTTCTAGTTCAACCCAGACTGGTTATAGAAATTTTTCTTCTCCCACTTCTTATTTGTAGCAGGTTTTCTTTTTTTCACATACTTAAAGACAAGTCATGATTTCTCCCTTCAGTGTTTCATTTTCTAGAATAAACATCCCCAGTTCTTTCATTTTACACACACACAGAGTTTCCAGACCTCTTATCATTCTTCAGGCCCTGCCTGGACTCCAGCTTCTTGAAGTGGTGTTACCCCAAAACAGAGACACGTGCTCCAGTTAAAAATCCATCAGGGACCACTTGCCTCTTTTCCTTTGACCAAAACAAAAGTTTGCTTCCAGTGTATTGTTTATCTCACTTCCAGCCTAACATAATCAGCAGCCACATGTAGGAGAGTTTGTCTATGTGTTCAGCCCCTCCTCTGCAGCCTTGATGTGGAAAATGAACTAAAATAGGGGAAAAAAAATCCACAAAAAACTGAGAAATTCTGGTTTTGCAGGTGGAGAAGAGAAGCACAGAAAGATGAGGAGGACAAAATGTTTCACCAGGAGCAGGAACCAAGAGTAACCCTTCCAGATCCCTTATCTAATCCTTA